TCTCAAAGTGCTGGGATTACAGGCGTGCGCCACTGCGCTCAGCCTCCCACTTTTTTTTTTTTTTTTTTGAGACAGAGTTTCAATCTTGTTTTCCAGGCTGGAGTGCAATAGCACGATCTCGGCTCACTGCAGCCTCTGTCTCCCGGGCTCAAGAGAGTCTCCTACCTCAGCCTCACAAGTTGCCGTGATTACAGGCTCGCGCCACCACACCCAACTAATTTTGTATTTTTAGTAGAGATGGTGTTTCACCTTGTTGGTCAGGCAGGTCTTGAACTCCTGACCTCAGGTGATCTGCCCACCTCGGCGGCCTCCCAAAGTGCTGGGATTACAAGGTCACCCTCTCCCCAGCTGCTTCTCTCAAAGACAAGATGCACAGGCCAGAGGAAATGCTTCATTTTATTTTTGCTCATAACGTCCCCAAAAAATCAGTACTCCACCATCCCTCACCTAGACACAGCCCCTCTCCAACACCTTCACAAAACACAGATTTTCTCCCACAGCTAAAATGAACACCCAGTCACCAACTACAGTCCTGCCCTGCCCCTCCTCCCATTGGCCTGCTCATCTTCCCGCTCCGTAAACCTGGCTGCCTTTAGGCTTCCTCCCTTAGCATAGTGTCCCAAGGTCACCTAGCCTGCTTTTTGCCTGTAGGATATGGGTCCACTTCTCAAAGCCCGCCCTGACTTACATCCTCATTTGCATAGTCCTTCAGCCCTATCCTGTAGCCACTCCACTCACCCCAACCAACTGCAAGAAACCAGGTTTGAAATTCAAGAGACCAGGTTTCCAAGCTCCCAGCTGCTTCCTGTATTCCCCGTGGGCCTCGGTGCCTTGGATGTTATGTGACGGGCACAGACATTGACTAAGGCCAAACATTTAATGATTTGGAGGAGAGAAGAGGGAAGAAAATCCAGAAATACACAAGAGAGGTGATAAAAGCAGAGAGAGAATAAAAGGATAAAATCAGAGAGGAGTTGGGTGGTTTTGTGGGGAAGAAGGGTTTTTTTTTTTAATAGAGACAGGGTCTTACTATGTTGCCCAGGCTGGTATTGACCTCCTAGCCTCAAACGATCTTCCTGCCTTGGCCTCCCAAAGTACTGGGATTACAAGCATAAGCCATTGTGCCCGGCCAAGAGAGGCGTATGGAATGAAGGTGGAGGCAGGGGGATGATGGAGCCAGAGCTGAAGACCAGCCCCCAGAAGCCACACCCCCGTCCTTCTAGCAGCTACGGGTCCTCTGGCTCCGGGCCTTGTACACCTCGATGAGCAAGTCCTTGACGTACTGGATCTCGCGCTCCACGGACTCTGCCCGTTCCCTCAGCTCGCGATTCCGCGCCTCCAGCCCCTGGCACTCGCCCTCCAGGGCCTCACCCTCTGCCCGCTTCCGCTGGCGGTACCTCAGAGCCGCCGACTTGTTCTGGTCTCTCTTCTTTTGCTTGCGGTCCCCTCGGGTAGTGGCAGGATGTGGGTAGGGGGCCAGGCGAGAAGGTTGAGGTGGAAGAGGAGGAAGGGGCTGCTGTGGCATGGGCAGGGGCGGCATCCCCACCTCCCCCTGCCCAGCCTCGTTGCGGCAGTAGATGGCCAGCAAGTCTAGAGTATCCAAGACAGGGGGCTGGGGGAGGTCAAAGGAGGGGAGGGGCAGGGAGAGGGAGGGGCCTGGTGGTGGTGGTGGTGGTGGTGGTGGTGGCGGCGGCGGCGGCGGCGGGGAAGGTGGCGGGAGGAGCGGGGCATCTAGGAAGAAGTCTTCCATCTGTTCCAGCTCCTTCTTGAGGAGGGCGGCCATCGCTTCCAGGTCAGGTGGGGTTGGGGAAGGTTGGGGGGGGGTGCCGGGGGGGAAAGCGGGCTCCAGAGGGAGGAGAGCTGTGAAATCAACTCGCTCAGTCATCCAGTCAGAGAAGCCATCACCTGGGATGAAAGTGGGGAGGGACACAAAATTTCCTGAGTTGCTGGTCTTCTGCCTAGTTGGGTGCTCACTCACATCTCATTCAGGCGCATCTGTTCCATTCATTCAGTAAAACAACTAACCAGTGAATCATCAAACCAGTCAACAAACCAATAAACCAGTGAAGAAACCAATAAACCAGTCAACCCACCAACCAACCATCAACCATCTAACCACCCAGTCAACCAAGCAATCAACCAACCAACTAACAAACCACTCAACCAACCAACCAACCGACGAATCAACCAACCAACCAACCCGTCAACCAATCAATCAAGGAATCAGCCAACCAACCAAATAAACCAGTCAACCAATCAATCAACCCATTAATCAACCAATGAACCAGTTGACCAAAAACCAACAAATTAGCCAATGAGAGAATCAGTCTTAACCTATAAGAGGGTCCAGGGGAAAAAAAAATTAAAAAATAAAAAAAGAAATTAAAAAAGACAGAACCAGCCAACCAACCAGTGACTCAACCAACAGTCAATTAAGCATTTCTTCAACCATTCCAACATCTCCTTTACTGAGTACTCTGTATCTGTGGTGTCTGTATTTACTCTGTTCTTAAAAGGCAAACTAGATCACATTACACACAGATACACCTTGTTTCATCTTTACTCATTAATTACTGAAAACCCACGATGTGCCAAGCATTTGGGATACAGTAATGAATACAATGATTCCTGCCTCCTGAGGGCTTCTGCGTATGCAGTTCCCTCCAACTAAAATGCTCTTCCCTTGGGTGTTTTCCTGGCTCATTCCTTTCCTTTTTTTTTTTTTTTTTAAGGGATAAGATTTCACTCTGTTGCCCAGGCTGCAGTGCAGTGGCATCATCTTGGCTCACTGCAGCCTAGGCCTCCCAGGCTCAAGCGATCCTCCCACCTCAGACTCCTAAGTAGCTGGGAGTACAGGCATGCGCCACCATGCCTGGCTAATTTTTTTTTTTTTTTTTTCCCTATAGATATGAGGCCTTGCTATGTTGCCCAGGTCCTGAACTCCTGGACTAAAGCAATTCTCCCTCCTCAGCCTCCCACAGTGCTGGGATTACAGGCCACCACGCCTGGCTTCCTTCCCATCCTTTATGCCTCCATCAACATGTTACCTACTTAGAGAAAGTTTTCTGGCTACCCACTCTGAATTAGGTCCCCTTTGTCATTTTGTAGCTCAGCTGCTAAGTGTTTCTGACTTATTCCAATACACTCTCATTTAATTTGCCTCTGGTCTACTCTCCACAGTATGAGCTGCTGGAGGGCACAGACCATGTTCTTCTTGTTTCCAGCTGTATCCTCAGCACCTAAAACTGCCTGGCACATTGTAGGCACTCAACATTTAATGAATACATGGATGAGTTTTTCCTCCCCCATCTTCCCCTGCCCTCCACTCCCCTGCTCCACCTTCCACCTGCCCTTACCTGCCAGGGGCTCTCCCCCCACTGGAAGCCCGCCCTCCAGGGCTCCCCCAAGGACCTCATAAGGAGCCACGGGGGCAGGGGCAGGGGGGAGTTTCCCATAGTCTACGAGCCATCCCAGCCCACTAGCTGGGAGCAGGGTCCTGTCCAGCTCCAGCCCCAGGGTGGCCAGGAGTGACATGGCTGTAGCACAGGTGCAGGGCGCTGTAGCACAGGTGCAGGGCACTGATGGCAACAGGAGCGGCTGCACCAGCAGCTGGGACGAGGCTCTGGAGGATGCTCAGCTGGATGAAGACAGGCACCAAGGCGAAAGTGGAAGACCTACACGTGTGAGACAAGAGTGGGTGGGGTCGTGGGGTCAGGAAAGCCTCATCCACCGGCCAAAATCATGGGGAAGCCAAGCCACACCCCCAGGCACGTCCACGGGGCTCCTCCCTCCCCCTTCCAACCACAGTTTATAACTAAGCCTCAGCCTCTCCGAATTCTAAATTTGCCCTTTCTTTACCCAAATCTGAGCCCCACCCACTCCCAAGGGAATTTCTTTAGGTCCTAAGGTAGGACCGATGCCCCACCCTTTCCCCCAATACAGAAACCTAAGGGTCTCCCAGGGGAATTACCTTAGGCCCCTCCCATCCACCTCAGAATATTCCGCTTCATGGAAAAACTCAATTCCAGGGACATTTTCTTCCAGCCACGCCCCTTGCCCTAAAATATTTCCTTTTGGCCCCACTGCCTTCCTAGCTTCCATCCCAAACCAGTGCCCAGGGGAACTGCCCCAGGCCCCAGCCCTTCAGCAATGTTATCCACTCAAATCCCACTCCTCGCTTTGCCACTGTCCCTCCAAGCCCCGCCCCTCATTGTTTATTTAGCTCCGCCCCTCTCCGATTCCCCAGAGGCCCCGCCTCTTTGTCCCATCGAAGCCCCACCCCTCAGCTAAAGGTTGGCTTAGCCCCGCCCCTTCTCACAATGGGCTCACGAAATCCCACCCATCGTGACGACAGTGGTTCTAGCCCCACCCACTTAGAGGGCTGCCTCTAAGCCCCGCCTTCTCCCCTGTCAATCTAAGCCAGTCCCCGCCTCAGCAGGTGCCTGGTTTAAAAGGAAGGAAGTTGGGCTGTGAGCCAGAGCAACGTGGAGCAGGGAGGGTGGAGGAGGGTAGAGGGGGCAGGCAGAGAACTGCTACCCGAACGCCAGCCGTCCACACGCGGCTATGCGCCAAGGGCCAAAGCGCATGCTACGTCTTCCGAGCTGTCCAATTGCTTTACACCTCCGCCTTCTTGGGGATCAGTGCGCATGCGCGGACACTCAGGGCCCGCGCTCATTCATTACGGGGCACTGGTAGGCTACTGCGCAGGAACAACCAAGCACGCACAGAATCGTTTAGAAAAAGACCACACCCTCCCTTGGAGTGCGCAGGCGCAGCCACACGCCGGCTGACAAACATCGAGTCTCTAGAACTCTCCCACCCGGCTCCGGGCCCAGTGCGCATGCGCAGCCGCGCGCCTTCGGCCCACCGTACCTCTTCTGCGCCTGCGCGACCGTGATTCCCCGCTCGCAGCTCCCCTCCCCCCAGGGCTCCCTAAAGAGGGCCACGAGCTGCGAAAGGGCGGGAAAGGCGGTTGGAGAGGGACAAGTAAGCGGTTACTCACTCCATGGCTGCAGAAAGGAGAGGCGGCGGCGGCCTCGGCTGAAGAAAGAAGGTGGGAGCGGAGAGCGCAGGCGTGGTAAGCGCGGAGTCGGGCTGGGGGCACAAAGGGGTCGAGGCTACAGAGCCATGGCTGGGGCTACGCAGGCGGAGGCGGAGAACGCTGTAGTTAGAAGAGACCGTGATCTGAGGACGGGGAATGAGGCGGCCCCGGGGACTGGGGACAGAAATACTTCGGGTGGCGCAGCATGGCCCGCCCGGATCCTTCCGCGCCCCGCCCTCGCGGGGCCCCAACTGGGTGGCAGCCCGGTCCCCTCCTCCTGGGGATCAGGGGATCCGACCTCTTCCTTCCCACTCCTAGGGTCCAGGCCCCTCCTCCCTTTTGAGCCAGGGATCCGGCCCTCTCGTAGCTCCGGGGTCTGGTTTCCTCCTAAACTCTGGTTTCTTTCTTTTTCTGCCTGTGAGGTCTGGGCCTGCTTCCTCCTGTGATTTTGTGGATCCAGTCTCATTCTCTTCCCGGAGACCTGCACCATTTAATTTCTGTTTCCCTTTCCCTGCTTGCAGAATTTCCTGCCAGCCACACTTTTCATGTTTTCATCCCCCAACTGCTGACCCCGAGAAACCCTCGTGGGTTAGAGTCCAGCGTGAGTCACAGCACTCTCCCAAACACAGACCTACCAGGATGGCCTCGGGCAAATAGCTTAAGTTCTCTTGCTTCATTTCCCTATCCGTAAAATAAGAAAAATCAGCTCTCCTGGTGGGTTTATGAAACTCAAGACGGTGTCTGGCAAGCCTTATGCACAGAGTTCAACTCATACGTTCCTGTTCAATTTTTTTTTTTTTTTTTTTTTTGGTGAGATGACGTCTCTCGGTCTCTGTCGCCCAGGCTGGAGTGCAGTGGCGCGATCTCGGCTCACTGCAAACTCCGCCGAGTTCACGCCATTCTCCTGCCTCAGCCTCCAGAGTAGCTAGGATTACAGGCGCCCGCCACCACGCCCGGCTAATTTTTTGTATTTTTAGTAGAGACGAGGTTTCACCTTGTTAGCCAGGATGGTCTCGATCTCCTGACTTCATGATCGGCCCGCCTCGGCCTCCCAAAGTGCTGGGCTTACAGGCGTGAGCCACCGCGCCCGGCCTCAACATATTTTATTGGGGCCCAGCCTCACTTCTTCTTTCCGCCTTACAAGAGCCGCAGACGTTGGACTGTCTAACTCTTGCTGTCGTTCTTCTGTCTCCCTCATTCCTCTGAAGTGTCTGTTTCCGGCCATCCTCATCTTCCGTTCCAAATGATGGGTGCCCAGGCCCCATCCCCTGGCAGGGATTCAGACATCGAGGCCCCAGCTGCGTCCTTTTCTCCATCCCTTGCCCTTGGCTTCCTTTCAAACAGTCCTTAGCTTCCACGGGATAGGAACTATCTCCCAACCCTGCCAAAAATGGAAGATCTCCGTTTCCCTTTAGTCAGAGGGTAGCCATCTTGCCCCTTCTCATGCACAGGGCCCTCCACCAGCCGAGGTGGATGTCAGTCTTTTCTCTCTTGCAGAAACCCACCTTGTCCCATCCACGTCAGGACATCCCAGCTGGAGTTCAACCTTCATCCCTTCTGTGGCAGTTAGGAGACTGAATCAAGGTCCAGAGAAGGTGGAGGAATCCTGGTATTGAGCGTTTTACGCAAGCTTCTTTCTCCTCCCTTACTTGTCGCGGGCAGGAAGCCCTTCTTGGGATCTGACCACCTTCCCTTAGAGCACTTATTGTCCACTTTGCCAGCTTTTGAGCACCTGCCCTATATTTCCTTGAGCTTGTAGGGGTTGTGTTATCACTGAGACAGTATACAGAGTAGCAGCTAAGAGCATAAACTGAGCTTGTCCCATCCGTGGGCCTGCATGTGGCCCAGAATAGCTTTGAATGCAGCCTAATACAAATTCGTAAACTTTCCTAAACCATACGAATTTTTTGCGAGTGTTTTTTTTTTTTCCTTTTGAGCTCATCAACTATCATTAGTGTTATTTTATGTGTGGCCTAAGACAATTCTTGCGATGTAGCCCCAGGAAGCCAAATTTTATACATCCTTGGCATAGACTCTGGAGCCAGATTTATGAGTTCAAAACCTGACTGCACCCCTCTTATTAGCTGTGTGACCGTAGCCATTTCCCTTCCCGGTGCCTCGGTTTCCCCTGTGGTACAAGGTGGTGTTAAGAGTACCTGCCTCTGGGCCAGGCACGGTGGCTTACGCCTGTAATCCCACCACCCTGGGAGGCTGAAGTGGGCAGATTGCTTGAGCTCAGGAATTTGAGACCAGCCTGGGCAACATGGTGAAACCCCGTCTCTACAGAAAATACAAAAAAATAGCTGGGTGTGGTGGTTTGTGCCTGTGGTCCCAGCTACTTGTGAGGCTAAGGCAGGAGGATCACTTGAACCCTGGGGTGGGGCAGAGGTTGCAGTAAGCGGAGATTGTGCCACCACACTCCAGCCTGGGTGACAGAGTGAGACCCTGTCTCAAAAAAAAAAAAAAAAAAAAAAAATACTGCCTGCCTCATAGGGCTGATTAAATGAGTTAATCCGCGTCGAGCAGTTAGACTAGTGCCTGGGACACAGTAGGTGCTGCATAAAAGTGGTTATTGTTACTGCTATAATTAAGGTGGATGTGTTCTCATTCCATTGCTGTGCAGTAAGTCCAACTTCCTTCCACTTCTCAGTATAGGTTTTTGAGCAAAAGCAGATGGAATTAAGGGTAGACTGTTGGACAGACTGCCAGTGGTAAGGACGCAGAGACGTGCCCTACCCCAGCCCCCCACCGGCAGAATCTTCTCCTAAGAAGACCTTCTAGCTTGTACTTGGGAACTGGGTTTGGTTTGGTTTGGTTTTGAGACAGAGTCCTGCTCTGTCGCTCAGGCTGGAGTACAGTATGATCTCGGCTCATTACAACCTCCGCTTTCTGGATTCAAGCAATTCTCCTGCTTTAGCCTTCCGAGTAGCTGGGATTACAGGCACCCGTCACCCCGCCCGGCTAATTTTTGTATTTTTAGTAGAGACGGGGTTTTGCCAGTTTGGCCAAGCTGGTCTTGAACTCCTGACTTCAGGTGTCCCCCTCCCCTTCCTCGGCCTCCCAAAGTGCTGGGATTTACAGGCGTGAGCCACCACACCCGGCCTTAAGCAAGACCTACCTGGTTTTTTTGAGGTTTTTTTTGTTTGTTTGTTTTGTTTGTTTGTTTGTTTTGAGACAGAGTCTCGCTTTGTTGCCCAGGCTGGAGTGCACTGGCACCATCTCAGCTCACTGCAACCATCGCCTCCCAGGTTCAAGCCATTTTCCTGCCTCAGGCTTCCAAGTAGCTGGGACTACAGGTGCCCACCACCACGTCCGGCTAATTTTTGTATTTTTCGTAGAGACGGGGTTCCCCCATGTTGGTCAGGCTGGTCTTGAACTTCTGACCTCGTGATCTGCCCGCCTCAGCCTCCCAAAGTGCTGGGATTACAGGCATGAACCCCTGTGCCCAGCCTAAATAAAATTTTTTATTTTGGAATAATTTTAGATTGACTCGACAGAAAAGTTGCAAAGATAACAGGGAGAATTTCTGTATGCCCCTCACTTGGTTTTTCCCATTAACATCTTACATTACTTTGCTGCATTTGTCACAACCAAGGCAACATCAGTATGTTACCATTGACCAGATGCCATTCTTGACGCTGACCACACTTGATTCTGATTTTGGTAGTTGTTCCCTAATGTCCTTTCTGCTCCTTCTGGATGCCTTCAGGATGCTACGTCATATTTAGGCATCACGGCTCCGCAGCCTTCTCTGGCTTGTGACTGGCTTTAGACTTTCCTTGTCCTTCGTGACCCTGACTGTTTGGAAAAATGCTGGTTGGGTATTTTATGGAATGTGCTTCCATTTGGTTTTGTCTCATACTTAGACTGGTATTGCAGGATATTGAGAGGATGGCCAGGTAGGATACTTTATTTTTATTTTTTTAAGTAGAGATGGGGGCGGGGTCTCACTATGTTGCCCAGGCTGGTCTTGAATTCCTGGTTCCTGAGCTCAAGCGATCCTCCTGCCTCACTCTTCCAAAGTGTTAGGATTACAAGCCTGAGCCACTGTGCCTGGGATTTTTTGTTTTTGTTTTGTTGTGGTTTTTTTTTTAGGGTTTTTTTGGTTTTTTGAGACAGAGTTTCACTCTTGTTGCCCAGGCTGGAGTGCAATGGTGCCATCTTGGCTCACCGCAACCTCTGCCTCGTGGGTTCAAGAGATTTTCCTGCCTCGGCCTCCTGAGTAGCTAGGATTACAGGCATGCATCACCACACATGGCTAATTTTGTATTTTTAGTAGAGACGGGGTTTCTCCATGTTGGTCAAGCTGGTCTCAAACTCCCGACCTCAGGTGATCTGCCCGCCTCGGCCTCCCTAAGTGCTGGGATTACAGGCGTGAACCACCGCGCATGGCCCAGCCTGGGTAATTTTTAATAACTTGGTCAGTAGGAGAATTGCATTGCTGGCTACGTGCAGTTTATGCTGGCTGCAGAGGTGCCTGGGCAGGGACTCTGCTTCCCCTCCCCACCCCCGCCCCATCTCAACCCTTTTGCTGTCTCTCTCTAGCTATTGGGTCCCACCCACTTCAGCCCAGCCAGACTAAGCAGCTGGACTCAGGCTGAGTGGGTGCCAGTTGGCACCCTGAACTCTCCAGCCCCTCCCAGCCTGTTCTAGTTCACAGTGGGTCATCAGTGGTTGCCTGCGACCCTCCTCCCTAGACCTTCGAACCCTGAGTCCCCCCATGTGCACATTGCTGACCCAGGCTTATGGCTCCTTCAGGACTCATGTCCTGGCCTCCCCCAGCCTGGAGCTCCCCTTCAACTCCTGAGCTGGGGCTTCAAGCAAGGGTGGGGCTGCTGGGGACTCTTTTTCGGTGCGGAGGGGCCAGGCTTGGGGAGTGAGGCGGTGGTTGCAGGCAGATTGCATCAGCCCTGGCTGTTTGACGGGGAGGGGGAGTTGGGGGATTCTCTGGGGACCCCAGCACACCTGGCAACCGCTCCTGGTTAGCAGAGCCTTGGATAAGGGAGAACTCCAGCACAGCATGAGTAGGGGGGGCA